TATGCCTAGAAAAGCGTTGAAAATGGAATTGGGACGAAAAACGGCGAAAACAGGGTGCAGAAGAGGCCACACGACTCGTGTGGATGGTGACACGAGTCGTGTCGGTTGGCAAAATAAGAGTTATGACTACGACTGTTTCACACGGGTCGTGTGGGTTGTGACACAGGTCGTGTTGCCTCACACGACTCGTATGACCCGGTCGTGTGAGTCTGGAAGTTTGGCGAAAATAGGAGAAAAGTCATACGACTCGTGTGGCATGTGACACGACTCATGTGACGCGCAGATCAGTTCAGCGGGGAATAGGATTCTTACGCGATTTCTTCCTTTTTTCGACCCAGATTTGCCCTACAGTATAAAAGAGCCTTGAGGAACTCGTTTTTGGGACTTTTTGACACCGTTGGAAGCCTAGAGAAAGCACGAAACACACGAGGGATTCGAGGAAGTCAAGATTGAAGATTCGGGAACTAACGGCGACAATAGTTCTTCTTTCTTTTCTCTTTTTCTTCTTCATTGAACTCATGGATTTATTTATTTTAAGTTTTGAGAATATGTTTAGTAGCTAAACCTTTTAGGGATTCTAGGATTTGCGAGTACTCGGATTATTTTATGAAGTAATTTTATTTATTCATTCCGGTCTATCTTTCGGTTATCAATTTTTGTTGTGTTTATTTTAATTGTGTAAATATAGGGCCCGTATTTGTACATATTTGTGATTGACTTGAGACCGAGAGGAGATAGTTGATTGCTAGAATTGAGAAATTCATAACGAAAGAGACTAAACAGACCGAGAGGTTGATAGAATCTTGCAAGAGAATTAGAATCTTAGGATCTTATGGGAGTTAGTTGTTCATCTTGAGACCTAGAGAAGATAGATAACAATTAATATCTACGATTTAACTTGTTCGACAGAAAGGTGTAAATTAATTTAGCGATTATCCCTACGATTGGTAGAATTAAATAAGGTTTGAATGAATAAGAAATCTTTGCTAGAATAATCCTGAGGAAAGCATAGCCTAGAATCTATTTTCTCATTCTTGATTTATCTTAGTACAAGCCTTCATTAGTGTTAGAATTTATTTTGTAATCATTCATTAGTTTAGAATAAAATCACCATTCAAATTTGAGTTAGTCTAAATAATATTTAATCGTCAATATTTTGGTACTTGATTAATTTAACAACAATCTCTGTGGAATACGACCTTGGTCGCCGCTAACTATAGTTATACCGTTCACTTGCGGGTAGTGAAAATATTTTGCGAACAACCATCAATCGCTCTGGTCAAAGTTTCGAGATCTAGAAAATCCAATCAAAATTTGGCCATCAATCGCGGATCTGGGATAGCTCGGCGTGCTCGACGTACGGCTGGGATGCTCGAGCTCGCGTGGATCTGCTCGAACGTGAGTTGTTGCTGGGGGCGCGTGAACGAGGAGTTGGGCTCGGGTGGACGCCAGCTCGAGCTCGGGTGAGGCTCGGTTAGGTGTTATAAGGGCCGAATCTTGAAGGGCTAAGGATCTAGGATTATTTTGTGTTGCTATTGTATGTAGGACTTAGGGTTTTTCTAGACCTAGGATTTACTCTTGAAGTGTAGAGGAGTGAAGATGAAGATGAAATGGTGGGCTAGGTAGATAGTGATATATTTATAGGTGGGGGATTAGGGTTTTTGATTGGTGGGAGGTGGGACTTAGGGTTTAAAAATTGGGCTTGGACTATATAATATGAAATTTGACTTGGGCTTAGTAATAAAATGATTGGGCTAGATAAAATATAACGAGACTTGGATTAAAAATAATTGCTCGGGTCGAATAGATAAAAATGATGGACTCGATTAAATGGGCCAAATTATTGGGCTTGATTTAATGGCTCGAGTATTGGGCCGTGTGGATGGGCCGAATTACAATTGGGCCGAAAATAATTGGTGGGTGTTCGCTAATTATTTTCGCTATCCGCAAGTGTACGGCTTAGCTATAGGTAGTGGCGAGCAAGGTCGTAGTCTACAGAGATTGTAGTTAAATTAATTAAGTACTAAAATAATGACGATTGAATATTATCTAGACTAGCGAATTTGAATGATGATTATAATCTAAAACATTAAACTAAGAACTAATTTATCTAAGAAATAAAAATAAAAAAAAAAAGATACAAAAGATAGATTTTAGGCTAAGCGTCCCTCGGAATTAATTCATGAAACGTTTATATTCAAACAAACCTTATTTAATTCTACCAATCGTAGAGATAATCTCTAAATTGATTTCCAAACCTTTCTCTCGAACAAGTTAAATCGTAGATATTAATTGTTATCTATCTCCTCTCGGTCTCAAGATGAACAACTAACTCTCATTAGTTCCTAGGATTTTCGTTCTCCCACAAGGTCCTATCAACCTCTCGGTCTGTTTATTCTCTTACGTTATAAATCTCCCAATTCTACCAATCAATTATCTCCTCTCGGTCTCAAATCGATCACAAATATGCATTCATAGTGGTCATTTACTCACACAATAATAATAAACAAAAGAAATTTATAAACGAAAGATAAACTGGAATGAAAGCAATAAAAACTATATCATAAATCAATCCGAGTACTAACAAATCCTAGAATCTAAGATAAATCTAGCCTAGAAACGTGCGTTTAAAATAAGATAAATTGATATAAAACATTGAGTTCGAAAGAGAAAAAGAAAAAGAAAGGAAAAGCTTATTCGGCTCCGTCTATCTCTTCTTCCCGACTTTCTCCCTCGTCTTGCTCGTGTTTCTAGCTTCCAAAGATCTCCAAAATATGTCCCAGACGCCTCCAAAACGTGCCCTAGTGTCTCTTAAATAGTTGGGATCGAGTCATAATCAAAATAAGTAGAAAAATCCCTAAAAATAGGAAAAACTCGTAAAATCCGTACAAGTCGCGCCCAGGGTCACACGACTCGTGTCGAGAGACACACGATTCGTGTGTCATTGCCGAGAGCAGGTTTCACGACCTGTCGGAGTGACACGAGCCATGTCTCGGGCTCACACGACCCGTGTGAACCTGGGAGGGTTAAATTCCATTTTCTGCGCCGTTTTCAGCTCCTGATGTGTTCTGCGGTGTCTCAGGTCGGTAAAGAGTTTCCCCAGTCGTCTTGGTCGGCTTCTAGTCGCCGGTCTGATGCTCCCGTCGGTGAAATTCCGGCCATTTCCTGCAGCTTCCGATGGCAGCATCTCCGGCGCTTTTTTAGGCTCCAGGCTGCTCCTCCGGCGACATGATGGCGGCGGCGTTCAACGAGACTCGGGCGTCTGTGCAGTGGAGAGGTGGTGGACGAGCAGCGGAGCTCCGGCAGCTCTTCAATGGCGGACGTGCGTCTCAAGTGTGAAGGAGATGAAGCCAAAATTCTGAAACTACCATATTGTCCTCCCACTTAAATGTTTGGCTTGGGCTGAAATTATAGACATTGTTGGGCTGTGCTTTTGGCCCAACAGAATTAATAAAGTGGGACATCATGTTACTCTTGCGGGCTGAGTAAGTGGGCCTGTTCCCAATGCATGGCTTGCACTCCATTTATATCCATTACTCCAATAATTATTTCGACCCCGTTTCCTGTTAAAACTCAAAATAACATACTTCATCATAGCTTAATAAAAATAAGTAATTAATTAATTAATTAATTAATAAATAATTAAATAATAATTAATTATATATCAAACTACGACGAACGGACACGAAAATCACTATAAAATGCACGTAAAAATGACGCATGTCAGTGGGCTCGGTTTTATCTTAAAAATAAAACTAATACTTGGGCTAAATAAATTCGATTTTTAAAATTAAAAATTGAACAAATTCTCCATTGCTTAGACTAGAATCTAATACTCAATTTAACGCAAATAATGATAATAATAAATAAATGCATCAAATAAGGAAACTTGATATTTATAGAAATAAAGTCGAGCTCCATAAATACTAAAAATAGTCGGGGCGTTACAACTTTTGTTTACTTCTTAGCAAACTCAAGTTGATCTTCACAATACAACTTTAAGTTTGAGGGGGTGTTAGTTATAATTGTTGTATAATGTATTGTAGGTTTAGGTTTATAGGCCCAACCTAACAACTTTGAGTTTGAGGGGGTGCTAGTTATAATTGTTGTATAATGTATTGTAGGTTTAGGTTTATAGGCCCAACCTAAGGGAGGCCCATCTTTTATCTTTATATACATGTACATAGCCCTTTGTTAATACCAGAAATCATATATTTTCTCGCTTCTTACCTCCAATAATATAGCTTCGTTAGAAAATTCTAACGGAATTCAACACTAAAATAATCTATTGGAATGAACTTTTTCTTGAGAATTTTAGTTCAAATTTTATTATTCAAACGGTCATTTTTCTTACAGTTTATTTTTATTGAACTTTTCATTGGAATATGCAATTTCGTCCATATTTCAACAATTGACAAAAACCGTTATTGGAATCATTAAAATGCAATAAAAATTGAAATGAAAAACTAATTCCAACTAAATACTTTTACAATTCATTGAAAATTTCATCATTTTCTTCTTGTTTGAAATTGTGACATCATGAACCGAAACCATCAGAAAATAAATCATTGAGGCAAACTTGTTTGCTTATCTGTTAATCCAAAAGTAAGTTAACACATTTTTTTAAATAAAAAAAA